TTCACTTTGAAAATCTTGTCAAGAGATATGGGAACCCCATAATTATTTTGAATCTGATCAAGGTAAATTTTGTCAGCGACAGATTCTATGTTGATGCTGTGTATCATATTAATATTCATCATTTTCTTTTTCTTGCTTTCTCAAATTGCATGTCATCGGAGAAACTAATTTTCACCTAGAGTCTTGCCTTCTGAGCCTAGTCGTAGTACATATGCTGAACTGAAATTGACATGTTCTTTTTGGTTGTCTTCTTGCCTTCTTGGTTTATGTTTCTGCTCTAATTATTTGTTTGCTTATCTTTTTTTGGGCAATCAACAGACACAGGAGAGGAGGCCTCGAGAGTCCATACTGCGTACAGAGTTTGCTAATGCAATTGATTTCATTAATAAAGACCTATCTGATGAGAACCGTCTGAGATTCCTTCACTGGGATCTCCACAAGCATTCCCGGAGGTATAGCTTCTGGTTGGTTTGTAATATTTATTTTAATCATGTGGTACTCTAAATTAAATTGACTGAAAAATGTTACCATTGTTTCTCCTCCATCCAGCAAAGCTATAAATGCTTTACTACTCTTGGGCAAGGTGGCTACATATGCCTTGACACTAACTGGGTTCTTCTATTGTCAAGTTAACCCAGCACTGCGACCTGACAGTGTCATCAAGTGGCCTTCCCCTGGGTAAGTTGTCATCTCGTTTTGATGGTTTTCGTGCTCCAATTGCTGTTTGTCTTGTACTATAAACTTGTTCTATTGCTTGTCTGTTATAATTTCCACCATTTGTTCTGTTTAGTCATTAGAAGAAGAAAAATGCAGATATAACGGCAATTATTGTGCATTTATTGTTTTTGGTGTCCCTCACTAAATCCTTGAGAAACTTTTCTTCTTCTCTCTCTGAATTGAAAGATATTTCAACCAGTTTTCTGCTTGCTTTTATACTGGGGAACAATTTTCCATTTCCTGTTGGGCACTCTCTTTGAGAAAGTGGTTGCACTTTTTTGTTCACTACCTTCGTAAAGATTTACCCTCAAATGATAAGATAATATGATCTCATAAGAGGTTTACTGCTGTATTTTGCTCTTTAGCAAAACGCTTTGAAAGAACATTGAAAGTGTAAATGTGGAACAGGCATTTTGACAGTGGTAACTTGTCTGTTGAAATACATAATGCTAATGGTGATGAGGAAGCTAATGGTAAAGAGGATGCCGATAACATAGAGTGTAAACCAAGTGGAGGCAGAAATATTGCAAATGGTGATCATTCTGTCAAGCCATCCATGTTCCAGAATGGGGTGCTTAGAACCAACTGCATAGACTGTCTGGATCGCACAAATGTTGCTCAGTATGCATATGGGTTGGCTGCATTGGGACACCAGCTTCATGCTTTGGGAGCTATAGACAATCCAAGGATAGACCTCGATGCTCCTTTGGCTGATGACTTGATGGGATTTTACGAAAGAATGGGTGACACACTTGCACACCAGTACGGTGGTTCCGCTGCTCATAACAAGGTAAGAAGTTTGATTTCGCATGTTGATGAATTAATATGCTTTGGATCTGATGGTTGATTAGATATTGGCACTATTACGGTGGTTTCAACTCAAAATGTAAAAATCATTGGTTAATCAATGACCTTGATTTTATATTTTTATCTTTAAAACTTTTGAACTTGTAATTCTGCACAGATATTTTCTGAGAGAAGGGGTCAGTGGAGAGCAGCAACTCAGTCTCAGGAGTTCTTTAGAACTCTTCAACGGTATTACAGCAATGCTTACATGGATGCAGAGAAGCAAGATGCAATTAATGTGTAAGTTCTGCACCAAGTCTCAGTCTCGTATTTTCCTGTTGAACTGTTTTTCAACTTCAGCGTTGTAAAAAGGATAGTTCTTTCCTCTGAGCTTTTCTGCCTGCCAATAAATGTTATAACTTATTGTATTGTCGCCTGTCTTTGAAACTGTTGTGTTTTATAAGTTCCTGTTTGCCGATCCTTGCATTGATTTATGTTGGTTTTTATTACTGCATGCATATAGTGCTAGAATTGACTTTATTCCTTTAATATTTTGAGCAGATTTCTTGGGCATTTTCAACCACAAGAAGGTAAACCTGCACTGTGGGAATTGGATTCTGACCAACATTATTACTCTGGGAGGGATGAAACAAAAGATAAGGATCTAGATGGAAGGTATGTCCTAATTAAAGCCTCAAGAATTCATTATTTATGTCAGAATACATCAATTTGAGTCTCCAACTCTGTGCATCGCACAAGTCATGCTGGGATTTCCTTTAACTCGTATGCGATTGTCCTGACATTAAAGTTGCTCGGTTTGAATTTTCTATCCATGGAGGCACTGGGTGAAAACCCTGTTGGTAACTTGGCATTTCATAGAGTAAATTTAAATTCAATCGTCGTTTTGTCCCATTGTATTTTTAGCCACCGCATCAGAGGAGCCTTCGGTCCAAAATGGTTGTGAAATTGAACCTTACAATGAAATATTTGCGCTTATTTGTGCGCATACTTTAACCCTATGAATATTTTGCAATGAATTTTCACTAGTGTGATCCTTGATGAATATCTTTTCCTTAACACGTGTACCAAATAGTAATGATATATGGGCCATAACATGTGTTTGATCTTGTATTTATTGTGTAATTTTCAGCTGCTTTCTACTTATGCATGTCTCCTACAATTTGATTGCTGGACCATTTGCTCACCTGATAGCTTTTATATCTGTAGGTCCATTTTCAAAAGATGTTATTCAGATGGCAACATTCTTCGAGAAAGCAGCTCACCTATTTCATCCACACATGTTAAGCAGAAATTTACAAACCCTTGTATGCCTGATCGATCACAACAAGAAAGCAAGATTCTTTCAGAGTCATCACCTGATATATCAACTTCTGAGAGTGATATTGCATTTTCAAGGTTTTCTTACAACCCTGTCTTTATTGGTTCAGTACTTTCCTTGGTAGATGCAGCAAGCAAACTGCTGTTTGTTTGGTGCTAGCATTGTCGAAACGTGATAAAGTAATGTCTCTATTGTTAGGTAACTTATCTTAAATTGGAAACCAATCAGGAGAAGAAACTTGTCAAAGAGCACATGAGAAACTAGGAAGTCGGAAAAACGTAGTTTATTTATAGAGTATGAAATAGTTGATTTTAGAATGAATCGTGTTTTCTCTTCACTATAGCACATGATATGCCATAAATTCTTTCTCGTGTAGAATGGAAAAATCGGAACATAAAGACATATAACCAAAATGGGTATATTATAAAAGTAATATTGTGATTTGTGAAGACTGGATAATACGGTTTTTGCTATACATGTCACGATGCTTCAATGGTTTGGGTATCTCTGTAGGTACACTCCTTCAATGCCTCGCAGGCAACTTTTTGGAGAGTTTCAAAGATTCCGGTGTGAAAGTGATCATATTTACTATTCCGAACAAGGAGATTCGTACAACTTCTCAAACTTTGTTGACCTAGACTGGCTATCATCATCTGCAAATTCTTGTGAGGAGGAGCCATTTGAGAGGTACTTTTTTAATCGAGCTCTGAAGATATGCTATTCTTGTTGATCATGGAAAAGAGGTTAACAAAATTTTAAGAGGATGGAAATCCTGAAAGCCTGTTTTTTTCCTTTTATTTTTCGGGGTGGTGTATTTAACATGTATGTTGGCTGAGACTTGAGATGCAATAATTGCAGGTCGTCAGTACTTACAAACTCTCCAATTGAGGGGCAATCATCGGAGAATGTTGTTAATGGAATAATGGGGGATCCGACTCCGTCTACAAGTGAATATGGATCAAGCTTGAAGGTAAGTAACCATCTGCAATGAATATTGTCACTTAATAGTAGCCGTTTATGAAACCAATTGATTAAATTCTGCGGTGCTGTAGAATTTTGTTCCTTATATTTTTCTTCACTTCAACATATGGCACTGTTTTCATTCGTTGATATTTCTTTTTTGTTGTGGCCTTATGTTCTGTAGGGGAAGGAGCAGACAGGAACGGGGTTGTCCCTTAATAATGGGGAGAGTTCCAATGTTCTCGAGGAGTACCCCGATAGCTTTGTGAACTGGGTCAACTTCGGAGAGACGCTATGCCACTGAAGTTCTCAATCAATTTTCCTCAATAATTCGTTCCTGCCTTCATTTGGCTCGAGCATTTTCCAAAAGATGCTGATCCACGGATTAGAAGCTATTAGAGTACGTGTTAGTGATATCGGGAACAAAGGAGAAACAAAGGCAGTGGAACCGGCGTTCCACTGGCGTTCGTGAGAGGATACTATTCCTGAGGCAGGTTGGCCCGGCCCTCGGGTACGATACAGCAGTGATTTGTTCATGAAAAGAAGAAAAAAAAAGTCAATCGGAGGTTATACCAAAGTACAAATGAGTAAATAGTCAACGGTTAAGAGATTCTTTAGGAGCACTTTCTCCGTCAGTTCATGGATAATAGATTTCAATCTTGTAAATATTTTGCTCGTTGGAGCTCCACTTTAGAATTGCAGGCCGTCGATTCTTTTATTTTCTGTCGTGTTAATTCGTGGACCGGCGAAAAAACTGACATTGCCGGGTAACTGTTGCGGAATATCAGACCCTACTGTTGTAGTAGTACAACTGATGATGCAGCGATTCTTGCCTTTAAGCGCTAATTTTAGGCCTAGCCTTCCAAGACTTGGCGTTTGGCATAAAGATTCACTGTACAAATATTCATTCAATAAGTTGTCCAATTTGGCCCAATAAAAATTTCACCATTTAATTAATCCCAGTTTATGTTGAGTGCGTTTATTTCGCATTTAGAGGTTTTAAGTTCGATTCTTGCTCTATTATGTTGTATGTACAATAAAGAGCTAACAATATGGGTTTATTTGGTCTTTTGTCACGATTCCATATTCATGCTCATAAGATCAAGGCCGATGAAGCAGAGCCGGTCGAGACTGCAAAGAAACTGGGATCGAAAACCGCAAAAAGAAACGGACAGAATAGAGAGGGAGAGTCCTGTTGTGCCTCGGAAAATTTTTCCACTAACAAAATTGATAGCTTAAATAAAATTACGGTCAAGGAATACCGCCGGAGTAAGCAGCCGCCTGGTTTTCGACATAAAACTCAAGAAGTCAAACAGAGTAAAACAAAGCTACAGAAGACGGAATGAACCCACTGAGCCATAAGCACGGAGACCAGCAAATATGATGATCAACCAAGAATGGGGAAGATGCGAGCCACGTGCTCTAATGGAATGCCATCGTCAGTGTTTTTCTTCAGCTCAGGATGGTTAAATTCACTTCGAGGTAGGACAATGAGTTGACCCCTGCCTTGAACTTTCTCAAGAATCCAACCGCTATTAGCTACATGGTGCTCAAGGAACTTGTCCAGGGCTAAACCTTCGATGTTGATAGCCTATGACATAGCACAATTGATTACACGTTTTGCGGAGCACAATATACAAAATTCAGTGAACTCCCTCAACTTAGTATAGTGGTAGGGTTAAACAGTCCTAAAAACTATGCGGAGTATGTACAAATTTAAAAATATACCTCAGCAAGCACAGATTTGGGAACCCTTTGATAAGTCAAGGAAAGAACATGAATTGCATAGGCTTGGATTGCTTGCTCAAAACCTGCAACCAATTCTTCTGTAAGTCCGTGCATAACATAAACACACAACATGAAAGAAAGATGACAATCACAAAAACCAGTAGCAGGACAAAATCCATAACAGTTCCAGAAATCGAAACCATGGATCTCACGAAAGCACAAAACAAATCTATAAAGTACCTGGAACAGCTTCAACTATGTGACGATTATTGGATGCTTCATCCCAGAATTGACTGAATCGTCCAGTCTGCAAAAGGAAGAAGTAGGTTTATAAGCTATGCGTGAGTATTAAGTACCGAATCAAAGACAACAGAGACAAACATACCTCCAAGTAGTGAGATAGAACAATTAGTGTCTTGAACTGCTCCTCCATTTGCTAATAAAGAATTAGCGCAAACAAAAGAGAGAATTAGCTGAATAACCTTCGTTGGCCAAACGTTGAACAACATTCACCATCCAAAAATATCTCAAATTTTTATAATGAAATTTGTCAGGATGATAAAAGGGAGAACCAGAAACTAATGAGAGATGAATAAATGTGGAACTTGAAAACCATTCTGCAATTCTGACTCGCACATACAGAGTGCACGACCTATTTGAAACCTCAGTCACCCATGTGAATGAAAATAAAGAAATTGTAACCGAGTATGTAATAAACTGAAAGAAGGAAGCGGATGAGAGAACTATACCACTCTTTCTGGAATTAAGAAGAGACAAAGGCTGAAATCAGGAGACGGCATTGCCATCAGTGCCTGCACATCAATATAACACTCATAAACATTAAACACACTTCATATTTACAGCTAAACGAAAGGTTTCAAAGCAGCAAGATTCAATACAGACCTTGACCAAGATGCGGGACACAATTTGGGTGCTCATACGATTTGGCTCAAACTGCACTCCAAGCGGAAAAAACAACAAAGTTCAGTTTTGCTGTAAATTATAGAATCTAAAACCAACCGATTAAAAATAATTCAGCTTTGCAGTATATTACGGAATCTAAAAACACAAACCAATTTAACAGAGTTCAGATTTCCAGTAAATCATAGACTCTAAACCGAAAACCAACTAAAAAAAATCAGCTTTGCAGTGAATTATGGATTCTAAAACAAAAACCAACTAAAAAATATTCAAGACCAATTAACCATTCATCTTTGCAGGAAATTATGGATTGCAACAAAACAAAACCCAATTTAAAATTTTCACTTATGCATTAAATTCTAAATCAAAAAAAAAAAAAAAAACTCAGCTTTGCAGTAAATTACAAAACCTAAAACAAAAAACCAATCAAAAACAAAAACCCAATCTCAAATTACCTGATAGAGGCGAAGAAGGCAGAGATTGGCATCGAGACTGTAGGTTTGTGAAGAAACCTAAAACAACCAAATCACCCAGTCATTCAATCGAAACTAATCAAACCCAAGTATCGGTTTCCATCAATCAAAAGACACAGAGAGAGATATACAGACCTGCTCGTTGACGTAGTTTTCGAGATCGGGAAGGATGTCGGGGTTGTACGGATTCACGGCGAGCAGCTCCTCCACCGCGGACGCCACCTGCTGCTGCTGCTGTTGCTGCAGAACCTCTCTTCCCATTATTCGCCGATTTATTTATTTAATTATTCTGGTTTGATTATTCGAAATAATATGTTTTCTGTGAATTTTGTATCTTCGTTATCCTTCAATAGCTCTGTAAAAGTAGAGAAAACGAAAAGAGGCAGAGGAGGAGGGTTTGAGGGTTTAGGGTCCTTTCGCGTTAGCGATTGGAGTCGTGCCAAATTACTTATATACCCCTTACTTCCTTTTCGGCTTGGGAGACTCCATATATATTTGACTAAAGCCCATATATATTTGACTAAAGCCCGTAAAAGGACGTGATATCTACACATCCCATTTTACTTCTTACACATCTTTTTAATTTTCGGCCTTTAGATTGGATGAATTGAAGAAGTTCAACGCACAAAAATTATCAAGGGGTGTGTGAGAAATAAAATGGGATGTGTGGATAGCACACCCCTTGGGTAAATTGTCGTTTGACCCTCTGAACTATTACCCTAGTTGAAATTGATCCCCTGAATTATTTTTTTGGTAAATTAACCCCTGAACTATTTGAAATAAGCCAATTAACTCCTTGACGTTAGATTTCGTCCACTATTCTGTCAAATTCAAGGGCAAGTTAGTCTTTTTATCATCAATTCTTACATGTTACTTATAACTACCAATAAAATTATGACATGTGGAATGACAATGTGAAATGTTCCATTGTGTAAACGTTTGGTTTCTTTATGTTTCTTAATATGCTATAAGTTTTTGAATTATTATGTGTCCAAGTGTTATTATTTTATTGGTGGTTATAACTCATAAGTAAGAATTGACGATGAAAGACTAATTTACCTTTGAATTTGACCGTATAGTGGACGGAATCTAACGATAAGGGGTTAAATGACTAATTTTAAATAGTTCAAAGGGTTAATTTACCAAAAAAAAATAGTTCAAGGGACCAATTTCAACTAGAGTAATAGTTTTAGGGGTCAAACCACATTTTATCCTATATATTTTGGTCATGATATTTCTTTCTTTTTTTTCTTTGGTTTTCTTAGAGGTAAAAAAAAAAAAAGGAACTAGGTAAATCAAAATTTTCGTTACAAATTTATAATTTAATTCAAGTGGGAATTTGATTAATAATTGTAATTTAAATTGGTACAGTGTGGAATGTGCTATATTACTGGCGTACAAATTTTGTGCATTAATTTGGTGTGCGTAGCACCACTTAGAAAATAAACTTGAAATTTGATCAAAACCTGAAATTTTAGTTGTTTAACCGTAAATATCTTATTTTAATTCATGAATAGAATTTGATTTAGAAAAAATAACTTTAGAATTAGAATTGAGGAAAAAATTGATGCAAAAATGGAATTAAGAAAAATATATAAATCTCACGTACGCAATTTTGGGTGCACCAACTCTACTTTAGTATATCGTTTTACGAGAGGCCAAAAATATGATGTCACATTATATGATAGCGGGGTTACATGGAGAGGGGCATTAGGCCATCTCCAACCGATCTAGCCAGATGGCCATAGAGTCGAATATAGTCCCAAATAACACGAAAATCGTCTCCAACCGAGGGTTAGGCCAAAGGGTTCGTGGGCCCCACCGGGCCAAAAACACCAAATCAGGCCAACCAGCTAGCAACAGCTAGCTAACGCTAGGTGACCGTTGGATTTGATTTTTTTTTTCCATAATTAAAAAAATATATATATTAAAAAATTCTCATTTTTTCCTATAAATTCCTAAGTCATTCCTACACCATTTCTCACATAATTTTCACAATTCTTCACATTCTATTCTCTTACCTCTTCCAATAAGCTTTCCTTCAAAAAATTTCAATAATTTTCAAATGGCCGCATCTGCAATGAAAGGTAGGGCTTGGAACCGAAAAGAAGATGAAACTTTTTGCAGGGCTTATAGATGGGTCTCGGAAGATAGTGTGAGGGGGAGTTCTCAAACAAGTGAATGTGTTTGGACTCGTACGTTCAAAAAGTAATATAAGTTCTACGAATGCACCACTCCACCAAATTCTCAAAACCACGAAGGTTGTTCTTCAAGATGGAAAAAAACATCATCATCCAAGTTTGAATAAATGGCATCAAGCAATGTTAAAGGCCAAAAGCAGACATGAAAGCAGAGCCAATTACTACGACAAAGTAAGTGTTTTCACAAGTTATTTTAAATATTTAATTATATTACATTTAATTAAATATTTAATTATATTACATCTAATTTCATAAATTAATGTCCTTTAATTTTTCTAATTATATTTTCTAGGTACGCCAAGCAAAGAAATTGTATATGGAGGACTACTCGAAACCCTCTAATCATCACAGCTGTTGGGAAATTTGTAAAGGGTGGGTGTTATTTGAAGATCCACATCAAGAAAGAGTTGGTCATATGCCAGTGTTCCGAAATGCAGCCTCAAATGCAATTGGGGATGAATATGAATCTTCTACCATTCAAGAAACAAGGGTAGAAAATCCGTCTTCGGTTGAAGGTTCCATACCTAGGGCTATGAGATGAAACAAGGCCCGAAAATTGAAGGAAAAGGGCAAGGCAAATGATGATTACGCCTTTCAACAGGAAATTGTGACCTCATTGCAATTTATGGCGGAGCAAAATGACTTTGTCGAGGAAGAAAAGAACCGTAGGCTAGCCAGAGGACTCGTTTTAGCCCTCTGGCCCTTCAAGAAATTAATATTTTAATGAACAGTGCATGGTCATATTTCTTACCATCTTCAACTGAGGGTTATAGGGTCAAACATAATTTATTATTTAAAAGCTACAACTTAAATTCAAATCCAAAGGCTAAGTGACGTCAACTAGGCATTGGATTTGAATTTTTGTTGGGCTATAAATAGGATGGATATTGGACTATAATTCACACACCTTTGAATTCAATCTATTTCAATTCAATCTCTTTCAATTCAAGTTTGCAATGAATTCCAACTTTAGATCCTCTTCGGATTCCAACTGGTGGTCCTCATCCAATTCGAAATTCCAACGTTTAAGTTTCATGTTGTTAAATGTTTTATTTTTATGTTGTTTAATGTTATTTAATGTTGTTTAATATTGTTTAATGTTGTTTAATGTTACTTAATGTTATTAATGTTTAATGGTTTAGGAAGTTATGGGGGATAAAAAAATTTTACAATTTTTAAAACAAATTTTGTAAAAAATATTTAAAAAAAATAACGACTAGCTGACGTCAGCAGCTAGCCGTTGCAATTTGAATTTCAACCCGGCTCGAGGCTGGCTGGCTGGCTAGTTTGGCCCGGCCGATTGACCCTTTAGCCCTTTTTTGTCCAATGTGACCTACGAGTCCTTTGGCCTGGCCCTCGGTTGAAGACCATTTTCGGGCTATTTTCAGCCTTCTGGACCCTTCGGTTGGAGATAGCCTTAGTGTGTGAGGGATACCCTCCTATATTTAAAAAAAGGAAAACTAATGAAAATGGCTTGAAAACTTTGAGTTTTAACGATAAGGACAAAATAAAGGGTAAAGTGAATAGTACCATGTTTGACTTTTTAGTGTAAAAATGTGGTTTTTCGTTAAAGTGAACAGTACCGTGGGCTTTTCGTTAAAACTCCCTTTAAAAAATTGTAAATGTGAGGAATTGGTTGTTTCCAAATGGATATCTGGAAAGAAAAAAAAAAAAAAAAAAAGAAAAAAAGCCCCTTTTTATCTGATTGGAATGTTCAAAAAGGAATTACAAACTATTTAAACGCAAAAAAGGGTTGAAGTTTTACATCCCAAATACTGCAAGACGGTTGAAGAGCGTTTATATTTATACCCGAAATCATTATTAAGTTTAAGGATTAAAGAAATTAATGTGAGAGTTTAAAGATTAAAATTAGGGATAAAGTTTAAGGATCATTGCTACAATCAAGCCTAAAACAATGTAATTTTGAGGAATTGGTTGTTTCCAAAGAACTGGACTTGGCTGCTGAAGAATTCAGCAGCAGGTATTGCTTACAACCAATTCCGACTGAACACATGTCCAAGTTTTGATTTACACGTATCCAGTCGGAATTGGTTGTAAGCAGGACTTACTGCTGAATTATTCAGCAGCCAAGTCTTTTCTGTTTCCAAATGGATATTTGAAAGATAAAAAAAGTATTATTAAAGAAACTTACATTTAAAATCCATAATAAAAAATATAAATAAAAAAAAATATATTTTTTAAAAAGGGTTGATTAATAGTCAATCCTATGTATGTGCTACAGCAGATTGGAATGTTTAAAATGGTATTTAAACAAGAAGGGTTACAAGATTATTTCTCCTTTACCTCCCAAAATAGCGCAAGATTGTTGAAACACGTTCATATTTGGGCATGTTATTCACATACCTATTTTTACTTTTCAAATACCTTTGTTAATTTTTGTTCATCGATCTTCATCAATCATTCAATCTGACAGTACGAGTGTGAGAGGTAAAAATAAGTGTGTATAGTACCACCCTTATATTTACGTCTCAGGTCATGTGTTCAAGCCCATGAGTTCAAGTGACATATCAAATTCTACTAAAATAAACCTTTACATTCATTTCATCAAAGTAAATGCGAAGTTTAACCTTTGGCAAGAAGTGTATGCTTTTCGCAGATGCTATAATGTAAAGTAGGAGTGACCACAATTGAAGATAAGATAAGAGAAAATCGGTTAAGATGGTTTGCAGAATACCTACAGATGCTCGGTTAGATGATGCGACTATGAGACTGAGACCAAGACAAAAGAGGTATATGAAGACTTTGAAAGAGACTATAAGAAAATATATGTAACACTTGAAGCTAACAGAAGACTTAGCACAAAAACTAGTGCAGTGGCATTCTAAGATTCATACAACAGACCCACTTAGTCGGATAAGACTTGGCGGTGGTTGTTGTATTCATCGCATCAAAGCAATACATACATCGCAATTCCTTGCGGTGACAAACTTCTGTACAACACAACCTTCATTGCAACAGTGAACAGAAAACACTTCGCTACTTGTTTACAGGTTCAAAAGATTTGATATCAAGTTCCACCCCATCCACGTCTTCTTATCAGATGGGTGCGCAAAGTTGAGTTCAAACATCTCCTTGCTAATGTGCTC